GTATGTAAGATATATATATATATATATATATATATATATATATATATATATTTTAATTCTGATTGCCATTCTGATTTCCTCTTCTGTTCTCTTCCTGGAAGCACCATTGCTATATCAGTGTGTGTGTGAGTACGAGTGTGTATATGTATTGTATTATATACAATATAGATATATAGCACAAAAGTTTCTGCAGGAAGACAGAAGAAGCAATCAAAATGATAGGGGTAAACTTTTAACTAAATATCTGAATAATTAGTAAAGGTGTTTTAAATAAAGTATGATACATGAGAATCATCCCTTAAGGGATGCAGGAAATTTGATAATTTCAATAACGTAGAATTTGAAGACCATTATTTCATTAATGTCTGTGATAGCAAATATGGTCACCACTTCAGGGAATACAGTGGACTGACGTTCCTTGATCCTGTCTTCGGAATCTAACAATGTTAGTTTAAGGCTATGCTTTCCATAGATACAACCATCTAATGTAAACACCACAAGGAAATAAGGCAGACCCACTCCTGGATGTGGGCTCCTCTGGCAGGTCACTTTGCCTTAAGGATTTCAATAATCATTGCCAAACTTTCTTAGAATTTAAATATTAGGGTCTTCTTTTTGCTTTTCTCCCATCTCATTCGCAGGGCTCAGTCCTGCAGGAATATTTTTAGGGGTCAAGAAGAATTAGACTATTTAATATACTTAAGAAATTGGTCCAAGAAGGAAAGTCATAGGTGAGCATAGGATAATTTTTGACCCAAATATGAGGGAACTTTATAATAAAAACTAAGTCCTTTCAGCATTGGTTGTGCCTGTGCAGATGGGAGGTGACAGCAATCAATGTCCAAAGTTACTCATTTCACATCTAATGCTACACTCACTCCCAAGGTTGTTTAGAGAATGAAAGAATTCCTTCAGGGTGTCACAGCAGTGATAATTCAGTTCATATATTTGTTCAGAAGAATTTTCTATTCTTTCTTTCCAGTGTTTATTTACCCAGAAGTATAACGATAGTCAAGTTGCCCTTCATCCCATCCCAAGTCACAGTAAACATTTTTGAAGGTTGTAAGTTATTCAGAAACTCCCATTCAAAGTGCAGATGGAATCAACGTCTTCCTCCATCATTTACCACCTCTCTTTAATACTGTGGGCCCCGCTGAGTGTTTGCTTATGTTCAGATGATGAAGGTATTTAGCTAATTATGCGACCTCCTTATCTAGTAGAAGAATTTCAGCAAATGAAATCCCATTCTGACAGATCTTCCAGGCAAGGCTGTGTGGTATAGAGCATAGGGCATTGACGTGGAAGTACAGAAGCAGTATGCTGTCTTAGCTAATGTGCTGGCCATATTGTCATGCACACATGTTGCTGGTTTTCTTGTCCCGATAGTTCCTGGCTGCCCTTCAGCCCCAATTAAAGCACACAAACACTATATTAATCACAAAACTGTTGGCTGATGGCTAGGGCTTCTTATTTGCTAGCTCTGACTTAATTATTAACCCATTTCTGTTTAACCTATGTATTGCCAGGAGAAAGCAGCTTACCCGTAGTCCAGCATGTTACTATTTCCGATGCATCATGTTTCTCTGGCCTCCCTCTCCCAGCATTCTCCTCATCCCCTCATCCCACCTATCTTCCTGCCTCTACTGGCTATTGGCCAAACAGTATTTTATTCATCAACCAATAAGAGAAACATATATACAGAAGGACATCCCCCATCACATACATCTCCTTCCTCATGAATGTTCAGGATATTTTTAAGGGGACTCTATTTTTATTTGAACTCAACAGACCAAGTGAAAAAGAAAAAAAAAACTGTATCTAATGATAATTTTTTTCAACCAATAAAATGCATTTATTATAAAAAGCAGTAATTTATATTTGACTATTCCTTTGGCATCCTCAAATGTGTGAAATTTTGTAGCCCCAAAGAGATATAGTAATGTTTGTGTAAGTGAATTGAATATTGGCATATTGTTACATTTAAATATAAACATAGACCCAGTGAAGTAATAATGTCAGATGTTACATAGTGAAGTTGACCTTTAGACAAAACTATCCCCATGGATGTATCCTAATCACATAGTCTCCTAAAAACCTCTTTTGCTGATAGAAGATATAGAAGTCAGAGAGATATATGGTACCAAGGAGAGTCAGAAGGGTTTGAAGGCCACTTCTGTCTTATAGAGACAGTGGGGGCATGAGAAGGAAAGAAAGAATCTTGCCATCCTGGAAGCTTTGAACATGAACCAAATCCAGAAAGGTCAAATCCAGAAAAATAGCTACAGCTCCTAGCCATACACACTCTGTACCCAAACTTCTAGCACAAAGATAGTAAGATAATAGGTGGATAAGGTAAGGTAGGTAAGTTAATAGGTGGGCATTCTAGGCCACTAAGTCTGTGATTGTTACACAGCAACAGAAAACTGATTTTCTGATTCTGACATTATTATCACCACAACTCTGTTATTCAGACTTAATCAACAGAAATACATACCAGAAAAATGATAAAGGAAAATACTTACCTTCTCATTTTTCTTATGCAATTTTGATAAAAAACATTTTCATGTTCCAGCCTTACCCATTTCCTTAGGTTTTGAGCTTACAAACTGGAGCACAGGTTATAAAAAACCAGATTTCTCACTTTCTGATGCTTATGGTTTATTCTAAAGGATTTCAATAAGTATTGTAAGGTTAATTTTGCTGTAACAGTTAAGGACTATTTTAAAAAC